TTCCTTATTGTCCTCCTCGGCCACTTTGCCCTGCAGTGATAGAGAGGTGGTGCAGACAGGTACACAAGACCATCCCTCTGCAGAGTGAGCATCCGTTCCCTGCATACCAGAGCGGAGCCCGAGCACAGCCCCTGCACATCCCAGAAGGGTACCCCATCCCTGCAGGCATTCAAGGCCAGGCTGGATGTGGCTCTGGGCAGCCTGGGCTGCTGGCTGGCAACCCTGCACACAGCAGGGAGGTTGAAACTACATGATCATGGTGGTCCTTTTCAACCCAGCCCATTCTACGATTCTGTGATTCTATGATGCTATGAAGAGAAACGGACTGAGAAGCCAGACTTCAGGCTGTGCACGGCAGTGTGCAATGCTGGGTGAAACAAAGCAGGAAGAGAGAAAGGGAGAATGGCCTCCAGGCCGCGTGCTGCCAGTGGTCCTTCCATGGGCACTGGCTGTGTTTGAGAAAGATCTTTGCTTGGCTGTGAGTTGAGAAGGCCTATTTGCAAATGTCACGAATTGCCTTGGGAAGAGCAAACGTCAGCATTAGCCTAGCACAGCCCTGCGAGCGTCTTTTCAAAATGGAGAATTGCTGGCAAGCCTGTAATACCGCAAAGGGGAAATCCCTGGAAATACCAGGCCAGGTTGGCTCCTCTTACCAGCCAGCATCACCCTGTGTGTATCAAACCCCCTCGGCCCACAGAGCCTCCTGGATCACCCCAAGGTCTTTCCTGTTCCTGCAGCGAGGAGGCAGAAGGCGCGCCACTGTAATTGCTGCACGCTGCCGGCGGTTTGCCCCAGCCAGCTCTGCACAGCCTGAGCTGCTCAGCTTGCACCTGTGGGAAGCCAGGGACACCTGGCCGTGCCTTGCAGCAGGAGTGCAGGCTGCTGGCAGCCCTGCCTCCATCTGGAGGAGGCCGGTCTCATCCAACCAACGCAGCTCTAGCACAGCAAGGCATCAGCCCCACGGCCTCCACAACAACGGCTACAGCATCCCTGCCAAAAATTACCACTGCGGTTTGAAAGTGGAAGACAGGAGAATAATGGGGGGGGGGGGGAGAGGGAGAAGCACAAGGAGGAGGTGTTTCTTTGTTTTTACATTGAAGCTAACACACCAAATATTCTTAGAGAAGAGCAGGGGACAGAGTACAGACTGTGCAGAGGTCCCCCTGCACCAAGAGCAGCTGCAGAGAACTGTTCTGGGCTGGTCTCCTTCCACCCTGTTCCTTCACAGAAGATCTCTCATGCCTTGTCACCCTCTGACAGGTTCCCCATGAGATCCCCACTCGAGAAACTGGGGGAATCTGAGAATAAGGGGGGTACAGATAATAAGGCAGGCACTACAGGACAGCTCCAGGGACCAGCAGCATCCCAGTGCCACATATCCAGCACAGAGCCAGACATCCCCAAATCCGCTCATTATCCAGCTCCTGATAACATTACCAGGTGCACAAAAGTTCAAGATGTTATCCATTCACTTAAATGTTTCCCAGGGGACAAATCAGTGCATTCAAGAAAGAAAATATCGTGGGCACGGAGTCAGAAAGCCATCACATCACCAGATAACAACCAGCAGGGAATCCACTGCCACGGACACCCACAGGAAGCAGGAGGGCAGCACTGCCCTCAGGGCACCGTGGATGCTCAGCGAGGCAGGGCACATCCCTGGCCTCCCCAGTGCAGCATTATCTGCCGTGTGCCTCACCCACATGCAGGATGAGAGCATCGGTGTGACAGCAGACAGGCAGCTCGAAGATGTGGTCAGGAGGGAGCCCTGTGGCCAAAACTCCTGTCTTCAGACGATATGGGTGCGGCTGCAGACGGGTGGGCCCTGCAGGCACAGGACCCTGATGGCTGCAAGAAGCTCGGGTGGGACCTGGGGACTTGTGGAGGAGAGCTGTCACACACTGAGAACCCCATGGGCTGGACCAACACTGCAACGCCAACCGGTGGTTACCTTCTCTGTCCCTCTCTCTCTCTCTCTCTCTGTTTCCCAAGTTGTTAAGTAACACAGGATTTATTGCGGTTTCTTTTACAGTCACACAGTTCAGCCGCACAGCTTAGAATTGTCCGTGAGAGTGGCAGTACGTCTAAGATCATTCTAGTACCGACATTATCACTGAGACTGATAATTGTGTTTGGACCTGGAGAGTTGCATCACCTTCATCTAACCGAGGCGACTGGTGAATCCGCTCACCCTCCCTCCCAGCACAGGTGGGACACGGCACCCACCCAGGGGTCCCGTCCGTGCGGTGCAGGCTGCGCTGACATCCCACAGCGCGCACTTCCAGGACTCCAGAACAAAGGGTCCGCGTTCAACCTGCCGCACGCACATACGCGGGGCTGCTCTCGTGATCGCGGGCGAAGTTTACGGATGGCCAGCAGCTGCAGGGGCGGCCAGCGCGACGAGCAGGTGCCGGGCGGGAGGGGAAACGCCGCTCCGACTCGAGGGAGCCCGGATGCAGCGCCGAGCTCCGCGAAGGGCCGCCGCGGCCACTCGGCGATGCCGGGAGGCGAACACCGCGCCCTGGGGACGCAGCCCTCGCCGAGGGACGGCCGCGCCCCGCCGCGTCCCCGCGCCTGCGGATGGCGGCGGCAGCTCCGCACAAAGCGGGGTGGGGCCGCGGGAGCCCCGCAGCGCCGCACCACCGGCACCGCCCCCGGCTTTCCCGCAAGGCAGCGGCCGGAGGAGCCGCCCCTCCGCCGCCGGCCGTCCCGTTCCCGACGGCGGCAGGTGCCCGGCCTTCCCCCCCCACGCGCTTCTCGGCCCCGCGCCGTCCCGCTGCTTACCTCGCCGCTGGCCGCGGGGGTCCGGCTGCCCGCAGGGCGTGCACATGGGAGCCGCGCCGCGCCAGCCCAGCCCGCTCCCCGCCCCGGCCCGCCCCCATGCCGCGCCCCGCAGCCGGGAGGTGTCCGCGGGCGCCCGGTGCGGATGCTGGCGGCTGGAGGTGCGGCGCTTGCTTACCGCGGCTTGACGCTCCGGCGCCCCGCGCGTCTCCTGCGGGGCAGCCGCGCGCTGTCCCCCGACGTCGTCGAAGGGTCGCCGTGCGGTCTGGGCTGCGTTTGGCAGGGAAACGCCTTGCTGTCATCTGCCCACAGCCGCAGCGCCGCCGCCGCACGGTGATGCGCCCGACCGCCGCTCCCACGTCCCTTCCTCAGCTCGGCACCGGGCTGGCTCGGCGGCCCCGGCAGCGCACGTTTGTTGGCACGCGTGGGCTCGGAGCCGCCCGCCTTCGCAGGCGGCTCGCCGCGCCCGCAGAGCCGCAGCCCGGCCCTGGGGCCATGCGTGGTGCCGCGGAGCTCGGCGAGGAGGTGGCGATGCCCGAGATCAGGGCGGACGAGGTGTCCCTGGCCAGCTACCCGCGGACATCGCTCCGTCCCGTGCCCGCATCCCACAGCTATCATCGGTCGGTCGCGGCGGTGGCTCTGTGCTGAGCCGAGGGGGGACAGCCCTGCAGGACAGTGCTCTCCTTGGGTGGGATGCTGCAGTTCGGAAGCAGGAAGGATGCAGGGCTGTTGGAGCGAGCCCAGAGGAGGATCTGAGGGCTGGTCACCTCTCCTGCAGTGAAAGGCTGAGGGAGCTGGGCTCTGGAGAAGAGAAGGCTCTGGGGAGAGCTCACTGCGGCCTTCCAGGACTTGAGGGGAGCTTATAAACGAGAGGGAGAACAACTTTCTACACCGTTGGATAGTGACAGAGCAAGGGGGAATGGCTTTAAACTTAAAGAGGGGATATTTAGATGCTAGAAAAGAAATAGGTGAGCCGCTGGCACAGCTGCCCAGAGAAGCTTTAGGTGCCCATCCCTGGAGGTGTTCCAGGCCAATCTGAATGGGGCCCTGGGCAGTGTGAGCTGGTGTGACCTCAGCTCCATCCCCCACTGCTGAGGACAAGGGAAACAACAGGCCTGCAGTGGGTTTGCATGGAAGAAGCCTCTTGTTGGCTACACCCAATTAACACTGTTTAACGAGAGCTTGCCTGGTTTCCACCTGTCCTGCTGTAATTATTTTCAGCCTTGCAAAGCTGGACATCACTGGCTGCAGCAGACACATGCTGGCAGATGGTGTGGAGGCACAGCATGGACTTCTGAGGCTGACTTAAACACTGCCCTTTCAAAACTGCTGGGCCTTTCAGAGTTTCAACGTGCGAGAGATTTTATCGTGTTGAAAAACACTAAACTAGCAGAGGATTAAGCAAAACACAAGTGTCGATTTGAATTTGGAACATCTATTCCCACAAGAAATTGCCATAAACAGCCCAAGCACTGCAGGCAGGTCCTGTGATGGAGCCTTATCGCTCCCCTCCCCTGGCAAGGCGTTCACTCTGCTCCGTCATTCTACCTGGAAGAGAAGCCCAAGCCTGGGATAAAAATTAACCCAAATCAGAAAAGAGAGTCCTGGGCCTGGCTCTGTCAGGGCAGCACGCCAGGGTGCAGGAGGGGATCGAGTTGCTCTGCTATGTGCTGGCACTTTTGCAAGCAAGGGATTAGCTAAGGGGTATGAAGGTAACGGTGGTTCAAACCAGGGCTGAAGCCACCTGCTGAAAACCCAGGGACTCCTGAGCCAGCAGAAGAGTTCTGTGTAGTTCACAAGTGCCAGTGCAGGCAGGTGGAACTACTGGACCCCAGTGCTCCGTCTCAAACTCTTGTTTTCCAGCCGTGACAGCTGGCCGTGGCAGCACAAAGTATCCTCATGAATTTCATGCAGAGATAACCTCTGTTCAGAACAGCCAGGATCCACAGTACCACAGGTCTTGCCAAGGCCACTAGGACCAGCACACAGCTAAGTTAAACCTCGGGGCCTGGCTCAATCCCGTGACACCAGTGGTTCAGCACTGGTCAGGAGCATCAGAGTTGGTAGAGCAGGAGGGAACAGGAGCAGGGGCTGTGAGAGCACGCTGGCTAGGCAGAGGCCTTGCAGTTATGCCCATTTTCACCACAGTTTAGGAAGGAAGCAGTGGTCATACACCCAGCAGGTGATTAACAATCAGAGGAACACCATTAAACGTTGCGTGTGGAGCAAAACCTATAAGTCTTAATAACAACAGGATTTTAACTATACTTCTAATTTCCATGTCATTATTTAAGAGAGGATGCTTTTCAAAAGCCAAAAGTAGCAGCAATCTGTATTTGCGTGCATGCGTAAAACTACAAGTCAATCAGATCAGCAGCTATTAAGAACATCCTTCTGTCTTTGGAGCTTCTCTAGTTACATGGCATCCTTTGAAAACTGGTGTGGTTTTTTGGGGGTCGGGCAGAGGGTTGAGACGTTGTGGTAAGACACTGCTGAGACTTTCTTCTCATGCACAGTCGGTGTGCACAGGTGTTACTGACGGCAGTGGATCTGTCTCGCTGTTGCCCGTCTGTCTGCTGCAGGGTTCTCGCTCTTCCCAGACCTCAGCTCCCATTTGAATGTAAATTCATGCTGTGTGCCGGCCTCTAGAGGGCTCTGCCAGCTCAGGCTTCTGTCATTCTTCGAACCGGGCTGATCGGAGTCCTCGTGTCTCATACCGTATGCGCCAGGTTGCTGGGCTCACCGCTCTCCGTGGCTTTGGCTATCGCCCAGCTGGCTGAGAGCAGCACGGGCTGTGGATGCCCCGTCTCCCTTTCTCTGCAAGTGTGGATGACTTTATACACACAAGGTTTAGAGGAGGCATAATTTGCTGAGTGGGCTCCTAAAAATACAGAACAGATGTCTCCCCGTACAGCAGGGCGCTGCAGGCACACCTGGAATAAAGCACCTCTCAGCAGGAAAGCAGGGCAGCAGAATCAGGATGGGGAAAAAGCTGTATTTATCTGAAGCACTCGACCAACTCTGCGTCTGTGGAGGACTGAGCTGCAGGCCCAAGGGATGGGGCAGCCCCAGGGCAGAGGAGAAAGCTATCAGATCTCCTCTGCTAGAGGCAGGAGGGGCACTTCGGTGCACTGGAGGCCATGGAGGCCAGCAGCTAACTCAGGAAATAGTAACCTTTTGTGTGTGTGTGATCTAGTCCAAATAGTTTCACCCCTAATGTGCCATATTCCATGAGTCAAAGCAGCACCCACACTCAAAACTTGGGCACAGCAAAGAGAAAAGATGGATTCCCTTCAAAACCTCAGAGAAATCAAGGTAGAAAGGACACATTCATGTGGATTTTCAGTGTATGTCAGAGACAGGGACATAGGTGAAGAAACCTAGCAGAGGAGAAGCATGCCTCAGAGGCAGAGAGGGCCACATGCTCGTCCTGGTCAGCTGTGGGTCAAAAGACTCAGCTGCCCCCAGCAGTCCAAGTTGCCATGCCATGTCCATAGCCAGCTGGTTCACAGCAAGATGAGGGCTCTCTAGTGCAAATTCAGTTTGTCACACAGATGGCTCTGCTCAAAGCTAAACAAAGAGGAAGGGTAGTTCCCAGCATCTTCCAGCCACGCGAGAGACACACCTTGTGCCCCTGTGGATTCCCACAGGAACCAAAATAAACTGGATAGACAACTCCACCTTCCCCCGTTTCATTTCATTTGTCCCAGCCTGAGCCCCATAGCAAGATGTCCTCCAGCTTCCAGGCCTTCTTCAGGCCCAACCTGGAGAGAGCAGCACAGCTCAGCAGCTGCAGGTTTGTGTGTGTGCGTGTGCTCTCCTGGCAAGTGAACCACTAAAGGCACAGTGTGTTCAGAGAGCAGGTTCCCCTCCCAAACAGTTAAGAAGTTTAGCTACCAGTGAGGAAAAGCTCTTGCTTTACCTATTTATGATTTCGCATGCACAGAAAAATCTCTTTCAAGCCTCTTCAAGAAATGCCCTGCCTGGTTGGATCACCTGCATCATGTTGTGGTACCACCACCATTATTTCCTACAGATCTTCAGCTGCATCTCTCAGTTGCACAGCACGGGGTGGACAGGATGGGTAAAATTCCTCTGACACCTTCCAATCTATCACAAAGCCTGGCTAAATCCCCACACGGTCCTACATTGACAGCCTTCCAGGGGCAGATGAACTCCTACAAGCATCTGTTCTCCCTCTGTCACATACAGATAGCTGTTAGACCTTGAACAAGGTGAGAGAGAAGTGATGAGCTGTTTTCGCTATATCTCTTCCTCCTCCTCGCTAACAATTTCCTCCAAGCCTTGAGATCCCTGCTCTGCTCTCCCTTTTACGTAGGCTGCTTTGATCTGTTCCAGCTCGCACAGCTCTGTCTCCAGCTCTTCCCTGTGAATTCTCCTCCGATTCCTCAGCAGTTTCATGGGGAAGGGGTTTAAATCATCGAAGGCAATGTTCATCAGCTTCCTGCAATGGAAAAGAGGCCCAGTGAACCCATTTACTGTCTGAAATAGTAACAAATATCCAAGTGTTTAAGGAGAGTGGGATTTCCCAGACCAAACCTCTCTGGTGCAGCTCGTTATTCACTACTCCAGGATGCTGCAGAAATTGTTTCAGCCCTCTGTGCTCAGCAGTCACCAAGCAGCAGAGCCATAAAGAATCACAGACAATTGCTTCTTATGCAAACAACAAAGCAAGGGAACCTTTTAAAATACACTTTTAAAGTATGCAGCACACCGTGAGGAGATGGACTATCCAAGACTAACCCTGATGACTCATCTTCCTTGCAGGAGGAATAGTCCCTCTGCTCAGCTCTTCTGATTATACAACTGCTATTCTTAAGCACTTGGTGCTACTAAAGGCCATGAGCAGCACTGTGCTCCCAAATACCCTGATCACTTCAGCCGCAGGAAACCCAGGTAGGAATCCCAAGTTCCAGCTGCTGAAAAAGAGAACTAACACAAGCTTTGTGGCCAGGCCTGTTGCAGCATGACATAGCCCAAGCCAAGCAGGCCTTAAGTAAGAGCATGGAGGAACAGTCAAAAAAGAGGCACATAGGTCTATGTCCTGTTGACATGCTAATGTATGCATCTGTTAACACACTAGTCACATCTCCTTTCAGGTTGATGTAAAAGTGAACAAGTACAGGCTTAAGATAGAAGCTTGACAACACCTCACAGTCCATCCTACCTGCCATCCACAATCATCCTTGTGAAAAAACGTAGGTACTGGTAGATCTCCACGCTGTCATGAATTCTTAGGATTTCCTCCTCATTGTATTTAAAAATCGCAAGAGCATAGCGGAAAATCACCTGGAACGTTGAAAGGCATTTCAGTTGGCAAAGGCTTAGCAACTGAGGGAACAGGCTCTCATGGCTTAAAACGTAGGGTAAGGGATACACACTGCAGTACATGTGGTTGCTGGGCTTGTACTCAGTAGGCTGCTTTAGGGCAGGCCTAAAGAAGCACAGAGCTAAACCCAAAAGAACAAACCCAAGAGAACAACCTCCTGTGAGCTAATTTACAACTCCGGAGCATACCAGAGCCTCCAAAAGGACACTAAAACTAATCTCACAAGGGTTTTCCAGTTCTCTCTATGCAGAGGGACAGTGCAAAATTCACACTTATTTCCAGCAATACTAAATCTCTGCCCATCTTCTGATCCCTGTATCTGTCCACTCTCAGCTGTGTCTGAGTTGTAGAGCAGAGGGGACCATATCATAGAACTGTTTTACAGCAGGACTACGTGCTAAGAAATGGCAAGGGCACCATACACAGTATCAAAGGCTTGATCTGCCTGCAGGCAACACAGCAACAGAAGATGAGGAGACATCAAGGCATAGCACTAAAGAGGCAGATGGACAAGAGGCTCATGCCCACACCTCCTGACACGTGTGAACGTTCATCAATCTGCTGTCACGTCAGATGTGATGCAGACAGAAAGAAGCCCTAGATAAAGGGTTTTACCTTAGTCCCTTCATACAGGAAAGCATCCCACACTCGCAGGAGGATGTCACTGACCAAGCTGTCCACAAAGGCCACCAGAAACCAGTTGAAGGTAATGAGTGAGACATCAATCTGATACTGCTCAAAATGAGCCATGAGGCGAGGCAGCTTCTCTGCCAGGAACTCTTTGAAGACTCTTTGATCTACCTAAACTTGACCAAAACAACAACAACAACAAAAGTTAGCAAGCACAAACCACCCTAGTGTGAAGGAGAGGGACAGTGAAGCAGAACAGTGGCCTATACACGCCACTGGTGCTGCCTTATAGCCTAAACAGGAAGAGTGCAGAATCTCATTGTCTCTCAGCCCTTCATAATTACTGAGCAGCAAACTTTCATGCAGTACCAAGTGACAGGTGTGGAGAGGGGTGGAGTGTGGAGCTGAAACAGGGCTGAGATGTGCAGAAATGCGCTCTTCTCACACAGTGGCAAGAGTTCTCCATCTCAAAGTCACGAGGAAATCACTGACACATCTTTCCACATCAGTCTTACTGCTATTTTCTGTGATGTCATGAGAAACCAGCTGAGTAACAGGGCATGCCCAGGGCTGAATGACTGCACATGGCCTAACAGACTGAATACGTATGACCCCTCTCTGTCTTCACAAGAAACAGCTGATATTCTCAGTTCACTTCCTTGTGGACTCACTGCTGTCAGTTTTGCTTGTAGCTGCATGAACCTAGACACACAAATGCAGCTGGTGAGATCCTTTAATCAAGTTTATAAAGGCTTCATCTCAAGACAGCTGTGGTTTTACAAGAGGAAGCGTACAAAGCAAGACCAGGGTTAGGTCCTTCTCTACACCATATCATATTACTATACCAGTTCTGTCAGCCTACTTACCTTTGGCCCTGTAGTACAAACCAGACAAAGTGATATGCTTTGGTCTTTCAAGTCTGCAACAACTAAACATTTTCAGCCAGCTTTCACTTTATCAAGCCAACCCTCAAAGACCCTAGGCCTACCTCTTTGCTTGCACCTTGGCTACATTTTCAGGGGCCAAATGAGGCCATGAAGTCTTTCCAAAAAAGGCTCACTGATGGTCATTACTCAGCAAATGTAGGAGAGCCTCCTGACATTTCTTCCCCAGCAGTCTCTACAATTCACATATCGACTGCAGTCTATCAGATTTCACTGTCAACACTGCTGATCCAGACCACTACATCACAGACATTTTGCTGTCTGACAATAATTTGTCTGCTTCCCAAGTCTCTGTGAGCTGGTCAGAGACTTGTTTCCCAGAGACTTCGGAAACAGCATGGCCCTGTCCCAGTAAACACCAACAAACAATTCAGCATCACAACAGGACAAGGGGGAATGGTTTTAAACTGAGACAGGAGAGGTTTAAATTAAATTAAATTAAATTAAAGGTGTAGGGAACCTGCTCTGGCAGGGGGGTTGGTCTCGATGATTTCTAGAGGTCCCTTCCAACCCCTACAATTCCGTGATTCTGTGAAATATCAGGAGGAAGCTTTTCACACAGAGGGTGGTGAGGCACTGGCACAGGTTGCCCAAGGAGGCTGTGGATGCCCCATCCCTGCAGGCATTCAAGGCCAGGCTGGATGTGGCTCTGGGCCGCCTGGGCCGCTGGTTGGCGACCTGCACACAGCAGGGGGGTTGAAACTACATGATTATTGTGGTCCTTTTCAATTCAGGCCATTCTGTGATTCTATGATACCAAACAACATGCCTTGAAAACTTGAAATCCACTGATTTTAAACAGGAGGGTAACACTTTATATCAAATGGCCACAGCACCTTCTGATCTAGAGGGAGTTCCAAAGCCAGAATTAGGCTATTTGATCCTAAACTGAAGCACAGTTGATACTAAAATTCCATTGCCTTCCTTCATCTGCACTGGGCAGTCCAAAGATGGAGGGCAGTTTCCAAAAATACACTTTCTTCATATTTGGTTCTACATGTCAGAGTTAACTACTTCACTTTCACTGGGTCCTTCTTGCAATAAATAACTGCAGTTAATGGGCACCTCTCTCCTGACTAACCTGATCAGCAAAGTGATTATTCAGGAGTGGTGCCACATTTCTTAAGCAACTTTATAACTGTAATGGAAGGAACTGCAATGTGATGTCAACTGTCAGAAGTCAAACACATTCCAAGCTGACTACTTGTTTTTAACCCTTTACCAAAAATCACCACATCAAAGCAGTACAAGCAGTAGAGGGGGGTGCCAGCTCACCTGTGATGTTATCAGGGTGTCACTGTAGTAGTCTGCTGGCATTAGGTTCTCCACAATATGGACCAGACACCAGAAAGCATTTTCCTCATCTTCCAGGACCAACAGGGCAACAGCTGCCAATCTGCAATGAACAAAACAAAGTCAGGCAATAGAACACTGCAGGAGGAGACAGAGTCCAACACAGAACAGGAGAATCCAAGATTCTTACTGGCCTGTCTCTAGCTCTGTGAGGGAGCACAGCTGGTCAGAGAATGATCTGTTCTGCAGGCTTCCGAAGGAACCCAGGGTCTATGCCTTCCTCTCCTGTGTGCTTCTGTCAGCAAACAGGAAGCATCAAAAGCAGAGCTTCAGCAACAAAACCGGGCTTCCGAGCTAATGGAATGTTCTACAGAGATCCTTGCATTTAGCAAAGTGTGCTGGCTATGGCTATGTTAACATAGCAAACAGCTTTCTTAGAGACATTCCATATTATGTGACGTGGCTCACCTCATCCTTCCACTCTTATTCCCCTTAGCTCTGACTTATCTCCCTTTAGCTAGATGGGAAGAGTTCAAGGCTGGGGAAACATACGGAAGCTGGATCAGACTTTCAGCAGCGATCTGGTGTAAGGTATCCCAGGGAGGGCAGAGCAGACTGGAACTAGATTATCTGTAAGGGTTCCTTCCAATCTGATCCATTTTACAATTCTATAACATCTAATATCAAGGGATTTCTGGAATAGAAAACATCTTTCTGAGGACCACCTGAAGAGCAATAGGAATGGCTTACACAGATTTTCCTCACGTGAAAACGTACAATCAGAAACTCCCTTCTTGCAGCCAGTGACCCGTGCCTCTTTTTGTAGGCTACACACTTCTAAGAAGCCTGTTTTTTTTGTTTTTTTTTAAAATCTGTTCTGTAGCCTAAATTTGGGAAGTGAGAGAAGCTTCCAGATTCCCTGAGCCTCACAGACTAATAGAGCTCAGGCTGTTCAGCCTGCAGAGAGAAAACTCCAGGAGACCTGGTGGTGGCCTTCCAGCCTCTAAACTGGAGGGGCTATACAAACAAAGGGGACAAATTTTAGCAAGATCTGCTATGACAGGACAAGGGAAAATGGTTTCACGCTAAAAGAGGAGATACTTAGATTGGCTATAAGGAAAGAGTTTTTGACAATGAAGGTGGTGGCGCACTGGCACAGGTTGCCCAAAGAAGTGGTGGATGCCCCATCCTGAAGACACTCAAGGTTAGGCTCGATGGGGCTCTGAGCAACATGATCTAGCTGTAGGGTCCCTGTTTGCTGCAGGGAAGTTGGAATAAATGACCTTTAAAGTTCCTTTTGAGTCTGTAATTCTTCAGATACAACCAGATCAATTTCCTTAGCTTCTCCTCATGTGTCATCTGCTCCAACTCCTAGCACTTCCTAACACTTCCTCCAACTATCACCAGACTAAAGCCATCACCAGTGTTCTTCTGAGCACATTACGATACACAGATTCAGCCTATATGTGGTGACATTAGCCTGGGACTGTATCACTCCACCTCCTATAACTTTTCCTCTGAAAATTACAAAATAGGAAGACAAGTGCATTCTGTTGCTTGCTACAACACAGCAATAACACTAGGTAGAAAAAAGACACCATACGCAGAAAATATCTAGAGCTAGTACAGCTCTAGAGAGGAACAGGAGCCTGGGACTGTTTGAATCACAGCCTAGTGAAAGTACCTACACCGTCTCAGTGCAATCCCATGAAGAAGCAGCATACCTGGTTCCTCACCTGTTCAGTCCCTGGCAGTATCCAATGGCAGGATTGTGCCAGGAGAATGCCAGCAGCACCCTTCGGAGCTTGGGGATGAGCTGAGAAGTGGGAGATGAAAAATGTCTGTTGCTGGTCAGTGTGCGGGGCAGGTCAAGCTCGATCTGCCGACAGGCAGGGTGCTCAGTGCTCTTGCTCTGTCTTAACAGCCGCTGGTAGTGGTCAGGCAGATAGCTGCAGTGCTGGCTGACAATCCACTTCCAGACCCGCTGCCGATGCTCCACAGGAATGCCACTTCTAATAAGGCTTTTCAGCTCTGCAGAGGGACTCAGCTCCCCGATGCTATTCCACCTGTCACGAAGGGGCTTCTCCACTACCTCCTGGCTCCGCAGGTTGTTGGACTTCATCTCCAGGGCTTGAATTTTGGCCAGAAGTTTCCAGTCCTCAACTTCGTGGTCAGGTACGGTCATAAACCCGTACTCATCATACTCACTGGAAGGGCACAAGGCAGAGGTTAATTCAAAGGCTGGCTCTGGCCTCTGTGCCAAGGGCCACTGCTGTGCTCCTGCCACCCACGGCAGAGCACAGGTACTTCTCCTGTGCTTCTCCGGCAGCTGTGTGCATGAGCCTGCCACGTCTGCTGACACAGAACCATGAAGACAAGTGGTAGCCTTCACCAACAGCATAGACAGACAGATGAACTCAAGTGTAGCTGCTCTGAGCTGTAGTCTGACCCCAACAGATCTCTTTACTCAATCCATCTTTTCTCCTACACACAAGGTAGCATCTTGCTCAACCTGTTTATCTTCTCTGTCTTAGGACAGAGACGGTTTGGGACTGCAAAAGCTTCAGAGCATCAGAACAAAGAATAGAGACCAACAGCACCTTTGGATGTCTTCTGTGCACAATGGAAATCTCTTCCTAATCAGACACTCCAGAAATGCAGATAATGGTGCTTGTTGAGGGTCTGTGCACCCTTAGTCCCCAGTCAGAGCTAACTCCAAGGTATCACATGGGTTGGAAGAGATCAAGTCCAACCCCTGCTAAAGCAGGCGCCCTACCATAGGTTGCACAGGAAACAAGTCAGTCCATGTCCATGCATGCTTTATCTTTTCTAACATATACCTATCGTATCTATTAATTTCAAATTAATACAGCGTTAATCTCAGCTAACATGGGGAGGTAAAGGAATTACAGTTCATCTCCACCTTAATATTTCCCAATCTCAAGGTAGAGCAAGAGCCACACACCCACATCCAGAACCAGGCAGGCATTGTCCAAGTGAACTGGCAAAGAGACCAAGCCTGGCCTTAGACTCTTAGGGCTATCTGGAGAATCTGAATCTAATCAACCAGATGTAATAGAATCTGTTACGAAACTGGGGCAGTAACTGTGCAGAATAGCATAAACACAAATGCAAGGTCCTTAGCAGCACTAGTAGCAAAGCACCCTTGGGGTCTGCAGTCCAGCCCCATCCCTTACTGCAAGACTGACCCACAGCTAGAAACAGGGCAGTCATGGCTTTATATGAATGGGTCTAGAAAACTCCGAGGAATAAATATTCTCTACTTTCCAGGGGACCTCTCGTGCATTTCTGTACTCTGCTCTGGTGAAGCTGTACCTCAGGTACCGTGTTCAGTTTGGGCCCTTGCTACAAGAAAGTCTGAGGCGCTGGAGCATGTCTAAAGAAGCACAGCAAGGCTGGTGATAGGCCTGGAACAATTGGGGGAGCTGGGCTTGTTTAATCCGGAGCAGAGGACACTCAAAGGAGATCTCATCACCCTGTACAACCATCTGAAAGGAAGCTGTAGCAAGGTGGGAGTCAGCCTCTTCTCTCAGGTAACTAGTTAGTGACAGGGTTTATATAACTTTTAACTCCCCTTCCTGCAGTGATGTGCTACTATCAGCTGTGCATGGTTTCCACATTACCATTTTTCCTCTCCCTCTCCTTGTAGGTCATGGCTCCAATTCCCTGCTATAGAGCTGTCTCAGATCTCTTGCCTGCAAATTCCCCTCCACTGACAGACTCCTGCAAGGGTGTGAATTTCCCCACGTGCTTCTCTATTACCTCACAGGGTTCAGGTTCAGATCTGCTCCTTCCTTCACATCCCACTGGAGTGCTTCCTGGATGAGGTTCCTCACCAAATCAGCATGTGAGCTGGGCAGGCCACAGAGAGTCTCCTGCAGCTTCCGCAAGACCGTCAGGTATTTGCTCTCCATCTGGCAGTTTTGGGCTTGCAGATAGGCACACTGATGGCAAAACAAGAAGGAATGAGGTAGCTCATTGACGGTTTTTCCTCTATCACCACTGCTCGTTGCTAGCCTGGCCCACACATAAAACAAAGACTCCTGAATAGCAAGACCCCAGAAAACATGCCCAGCAGTTTTCTACACCCATGTGAAGCGCAGCTATGAATGAATCACCATTGCCAATGAACACACATAAGCTTCATAAGCAAGCACACAACAGAAGTTGCTTTTTGAATGGCAGGCCAAATACAGCATCACCTGCTTACCTACTGCACTGCATCAGGGGTGGCCATATCCCAGGCAGCACAGATCAGAGCCACCACTGCATCTGAATTCTCTTCAGGCTTTTCCTCTCCTGCTTAGACAAGTTCTCTACCACAGACTGAGCTGTACTCTGCAAATACACACCACTCAAGGGGCTGAGCTGGAACCTCCACAACTTCAGGATACGCAGCAGAATCACAAAGTGAACGTGCTCCCAAGCAACCTCATACCATCATACTGCTATACAGCATCAAGCACACGAAGCTCAAGTGAGTTCAAACAGAGCAAAACCACCACACTCCAGGGCATACAGAAAAGAAAAAAAAAGCAGGTGGGGAGGGGGAGAGGAGGGAAACAGGGAAACGAGGATTGTTATCACCACTTCACAATTCACAACTGAGGCCATACAGGTGACAAAACTCACCTAATCAGTGTTTCACAGGAAGCACAAGGACTTCTCAGTGGGAAGCAGCAATTAAAAACAAAACAGGAATCACAGAAAGAATTAGGCTGCATAGAAAGTGGACAGAAAAGAGCATAGGACACTGTCACACTACCACTTTACTCAGCATTTTGCCTCAAGTCAAGCATTTCAGTATGATTACTTCCATTCTGAAGCTGACAGCAATTGGAGGATCAGAGAACAAGAACAAGCTGAGGTGTACTGGGTTTCAAAAGACTAGGAAGCAAAGAGATAAAAGAATGACAACACCAACTCAGAAGCAGCTGCTTGCCCTGTTACAGAATCCAGGGCTATGGGGACATTCCTTGAAATCTAGTAAGGAAAACCCAGGGAAAACCTAGAGAACAAATGCCAGCCTGAAGCAGTGGTTTAGGACCAGAAAGACAAGTCTAAGCACAACTAGTTTATGCATACTTACAACACTAGAAATAAAAACAGAGCCTAAGAAGAGAAATCAACTCTCAACTAGCTGCAGGATCTAAGAGAATTGCTACCTGACAGCACTAGGCCTTGTGCAGAAATCAAAACTAGATGGAGCCAGGACCTAGTCAGCCTGCCAAGTCTCAAGAACTTCTCATTCTCTTAGCACAGAAATTTCTTTATTTGTATCCAAAAGTAAGGCTGAATCTACAGGAGTCTGAGTTAGTTTTCAGCATCCCTAAGAGTGAACTCTGCAAGCATTTTACTTTGACCGGAGAGAGAAAACAATCATATCTAATCTGGGAACAATACAAAGCAAGAAAATTAAACTAAAAATAATAATTGAAATTAAAAAATACGAAACAAATTTCTTCCTGGTGAGTTTTTGTATCAAAATCATCCCAGCACCCACTTAGGACAGAGCTTAGAAAAAGGTGTCCCCAAGAAAAAAGAACTATTTTGCCCCACCTTCATCAGAAGGGCTTTTTCATTCTCAGCAACTCTTGTCCAGAGTCGAGTAACCTGGTGGATCTCCGAATTGAGAAACTGGTTCTGGGTTTTGTAGGCATCGATATCATCCTGCCACAAAACAAAACAGTCACAGAGGAACAGTTTATGAGGGTCCCTAGAGGGACTTGTGTATGGAATGAGTAAAGGACAAGAAAAAAATGTCGTGTTCTAGAGACAAGACAGGACTTTCCAGGACAAATACAGTCTACAAAGGAAATGAAGGTACAACATTACATAGAGGTGTCATGCATAGAGAAGACACTTGGAAAATGCTAAATGTACTTAGAAAACATATGCACTTATAAGACGTAGAGACAGTTGGATGGCAGAAAGCTAAAGAAACAGCTAACTGAGATGAAGAATACTTTTCTCCCTTTTTTAAGAAACAGATGCAGGTTTCAGCCCCACAGCTGGCAGAAAAAACACTTCCCACAGCAGAGTGCCTCATTTGGCAGTTCTCCACCCCATGCTAACAGTTCATTATAATGGTGCGTGTGGTAACAGTGCAACAGGCTGGATTTGAAAAAAACTAAGATGTGTTGGGAAACTATTTGCAAGAGGGAAGCACACACCAATAGAGCCATGAAAACAGCAGGTTAGACAGCAGTAAGTGAAACAGGAGATTGAACAAAGAGGCTGGCTCTCAATGTTAACTAGATCAAAACAGTATTTTGTTCCACCTGGCTGAAGCCAAGCTATCTGCTTCTGAGAACTCCATCAATACCAGGTGAGGCCCTCCCACCCCGTCTCTGATGCACACAGAACTAGAAATACAGTCTGTGCTTTCCACTAGGAACAACCTCCCACTGAACCGGAGGGTACAGGAATGCAACCTCTCAAATAATCTGTGTCACCTCCACACACCTTCAGGTGCTCAATCTCCTCCTGGTGTTTATACAATGTCTCTGCAGTGACAGCATTTGCTTCTTTCAGGGGATCAGAGTGTTCTCGGGTCCTCTGCTCTGTCAAGGCCATGATGACTTGCTGTTTGGCATGGTTCTTCTCCATCAGAAGCTGCACATGCTCTTTGAGTTCCTGGATATGGCTGTCTCTCAGAGCAAGCATCTGCTCAAGTTCCTTCTTCTCCTGCTCAAGAGCTTCCAGTCGACTGGTGAGATCTGCAATTTGTCTCACTTTGTGGCGCACTAACTCCAGCCTGTCCTTATCTTCTGCTGCAGTGAGATACATGCTAGACACTCGCTTCTCCTGCTGGGCTGCCTCCAGGGCTTTGTGGAGAAGCTTAACCAACTCCTGGTAAAAGAAAGCAAACTCACAGTGATTAGCTCACAGTGTGCCCAGGGCACTGCCCAGGACTCTACAGTCCTGCCAAGTAATGAGTGAACAGCTAAAGATCCTCAGGATCTCGAAACTGACTCCTCTCCGAAGGAAAACTGAATGGAAATTGCTGTATTTGTTTCAGCTTTCACACTGCAGAAGTCCTCCCTCACTCCAAGCCACATGAATGTACAAAAGCTTCTTCCAGCACTGTGCTGCTGATTCATGCTCTGCTGTCTCAGACATTTAAGGAACCAAAACAAGGGTGTAATTCTATTACCCACCATGGGACCTGGCTCTCTTGTCTCTTTTGCTGGAAAGAGATACTAGCATTACTGAGGATTCTGGCACTGTCACTCAGGAGACAGAGGCCTTGCAGTGACTGGGCTCTGCAATCACATCACATCTTAATGGTGGACTGTTGTTCAAAAAAAGCATGACAACTCAATCTGGCAGCTCCTGTCAGCATCATGATATCCAATCCAAGATTGTATTTCATACATCTGTTAAATAACATACACCAGCATGACAACTGCAGAACCCACCTGGATTTTTTTTTAACCTCTCTTTTCCAACCTGTCTGCTAGATATGTTTTGTGGTTAATGAATGTCCGTGCTTTCCTTGTGCTGGGCACCATCAGGTTATGTACATCAGGGTGACACTAGGAGCTTCAGCTGAATGCCTGCTCAGCCCCCTCAGCCTTACCAAGAACCAAGGTCCAGGGAGTCTCTGTGAACACTTTCAGGGTCCTGCCCTTAAAGGCAGAAGATTCTTCACCGTACTCACCTTCTGTGACTTGACCTCCTCTGTGAGTGTCAGCATCTGCTGCTGTAGGACGTTCACTTTATCCATTGAGTTCCTCTCCCGGGGTTGCTCTTCTGCCAAGCTACTGTTCACCCACTTGGCTTTCCTAAACAAGTTCAACCGAGACTCCATCCTCCCATCCTCTGGGGTCTCCTTCACTGAAAGGAAACAGAGTTAATTTATACAGAATCACAGAATCACCAAGGTTGGAGACCTACAAGATCATCCAGTCCAACCATCCACCTATCACCAACAGTTCTCACTAAACCACATCCCTCAACACAAAACTCAAATGTCCCTTGAACACCTCCAGAGTCGGTGACTCCACCACCTCTCTGGGCAGCCATTCCAGTGCCTGACCACTCTTTCAGACAAGCAGCATTTCCTAACATCCAGCCTAAATCTCCCGTGGTGCTGCTTGAAGCCATTCCCTCCAGTCCTATCACTGTTACATGAGAGAAGAGGCCGACCCTCAGCTCACTGCAACCTCCCTTCAGGTAGTTAGAGAGCAATGAGGTCCCCCCTGAGCCTCTTCTTCTCCAGGCTGAACATTCCCAGCTCCTTCATCTGCTCCTCATCAGCCCTGTGCTCCAGACCCCTCACCAGTTTTGTTGCCCTCCTTTGAACACGTTCCAGGGCCTCAATGTCCTTCTTGCACTGAGGGGCCCAACACTGAACACAGCACTCGAGGTGCAGGCTCACCAGTGCCGAGAACAGGGGGGCAAGCACTTCCCTGTCCCTGCTGGCAACATTATTCCTGATGCAAGCCAGGATGCCACTGCTTCTTGGCCACCTGGGCACACTGCTGGCTCACATTCAGCCCAGCACCAACCAACACCCCCAGGTCCATTTCCTCTATGCAGTCCTCCAGCCACACCGCCCCAAGCCTGTAGCGTCACCTGGGGTTGTTGTGGCCGAAGTGCAGGACCCGGCATTTGGCCTTGTTGAACCTCATCCCATTGGCTTCAGCCCAGCTCTCCAGCCTGTCCAGATCCCTCTGCAGGGCCTCGCTACCCCCAGGCAGATCCACACTTCCAGCCAACCTTGTGTCATTTGCTGACTTACTGAGGTGCACTCAATGCCCTCATCCAGGTCATCAATAAAGACACTGAAGAGGACAGGCCCAGCACCGACCCCTGAGGAACACAAGTGGTGACAGGTCACCAGCTGGTTTTAGCTCCATTCACCACCACTGCCTGGGCCCAGCCCTACAGCCAGGTTCTTATCCAGCCAAGAGTGTAAGCATCCAGGCCACAGGCTGCCAGCTTCTGCAGGAGAATGCTGTGGGAGACAGTGTCAAAGGCTTTGCTGAAGTCTAGGTAGACCACAGCTACAGCCTTTCCCTCATCTACCAGACAGGTCACAGATCATAGAAGGAGATCAGGTTGGTCAAACAGGACCTGCCCTTCATGAACCCATGCTGGTTAGGTCTGATCCCCTGGCTGTCCTGCACATGGCACGTGATCTCCCTCAAGACAATCTGTTCCATAACCTTCCCTGGCACCAAGGTCAGGCTAACAGGCCTGAAAACAGAACTGAGTTTCTTGCTACAGACTCCTATGTCTGCTATGAGGGGACTCACAACAGCTCCAACTAGAAGACTGACACACAGGACAAGAAACATCAACCTGCTGGGATTCACAAATGGCAGGGATGAGAACCACAGGTGCCCCCAGAATAAATAAATGATGTTTCATGGTACCTGTAAACCCTCCTTTCACCCCACCTGTCTTGCCCACAACAAAAGGCAGTTAGCGTATGTGGAGAGCACATGCTAAACTCAGCAATTACACCCTATATTTGGGAGGAAAGGGTTGAGGAGAATGAGACTGTACAGCAGTTTTATTTCCAATTCAAGGAAATAGTATGGGCTAGCAATATGGTTTATCATTTTGCCTCTGGAAAAGATTCCACAGGTAAGAGACAAACATATACAGCCTAAAGCAGAGCAAAATGAGTCTTTCTTGTGCCAGCAAAGCTCAGGAAGGAAGGAAGGAGACAACATGGTCAAGCTTTCATGTCCCCAAACTACTTGCCACTCTATCCTTCACTTTTCTGCTAAGTCTGACTCACTAGTAAATTATGTCATAGCCATACACATTTCAGTAACAGGCACCTGTACACTGTGCTTCCACTTCTGCCTCTTGTTCAGGGTCCTCCTGGAATTTACTGAAGTTAAAAACATTCCCATCATTCCCCCAGAGTTGCTTGGAGCCACAGATATTGTAGACAGTGTTTCTGAAACAAGAGGAGACTAAAACAGTGAACAGAAGCGATGAATGCTGCAGCCAGTTATATTCGAATTACCCAGTGACACACTTCTCCTCATTCATCACATCTCCCTCCTCCCAGAACCTGCCTCCACCATTTGATTAAAAAAAAAAAAAAGAATCATTCATGGCACTGGTGGATCTAAGGGGAGCAAAGCTGAAACTGGCACATATCAGAAAGATGCCACAAAATTGCTACCAGCACAGCCAAGTGAATCAGATGGAGATCTTTTCCACACCCTTCAGCCCTCTACATAAAGGCTGGACAGAAGGAAGCAGATAAAATCACAATCATTTCTTCTTTCTTTCTCTCCCTCTCCTCTTCCTCCCTTAGCTCAGTTCCTTGCAGAAGCCCTCAGACAGAAACAAAAGTTCATCTCTCTACAGCCAAAACTGCCACAACAGTTACAGCTGAAGCTGCCACAGGTCCTGTGATCTAAATCACATTTAATAACCTTGCCACAACTAATTTGATAAGCTTTGATACAGTACAGAGATTCTGGAATAAAACTGCTATGAGATCTAGAAGCAGTCAATCACAGACTGTTTGTTGCAGTTGTTGCTTTCAGATGCTGCCAGAAGAACTAAAAGATGTCTCCACAAGATCATGGAGAACCAGCAGCATGTCAGTGTTTTTTGTAAAACCTATACAAGACAGTGAGACAGCTGCCTATTTCTGTATAAGTCTTCTCTCTTCCCATCAGCTGAAAGAAAATAAGCCTCTTGTTCTGACACATACACAGGACATCATGTTAACTACGTCTTTACTGTTAATGAAGCTGGAGCTTAGATATTATTCTCCTTTTTGCCTTTTTACTGTGAGGCTCATGAGTAGAAAAGCAGAAATTTCTGACCTAAGCAAATGCATTGGCAGAAGAGATCAGCAGACCTCCACTCCCCATAGGCTGCAGTGGGCATTCCTTTGATGCAATTTTCCTGCTTTTCTTTATTTCATGCTATGCTGTTTTCCCCATGAAACCAGAACAACTCAGGAATCCGAGGAACTCAGCTGAAACAAAACACACTACACAACAGAGCGTGCAGAAATGTTCACAGGACCAAGGTAACAATTGGATCCAAGGATGAAAAGAAGCAATTATTACTCAAGCTTACAAAAGTAAGGCTGGGGAGGAGTTATGATTACAGTATTTTTTATCAAAGTGCAGAGGAAAGAATGCACTTTGTATCTATCCTGCAAAACAGTACAGCTGAGATTGCTGCTCTTACATACCATAGGAAGCCTCTCTTCCTATCAGCATCAGACTGTAGCCAGAGCAGCAGCGATACTAAACTACAGCAAACCTCCCCTCCAAAAACATTTGGCAAGTGCCTGTGACCACCTGCATGCTGTGGGCTATCTGTAAATAAGTGATGAGGATATGCTTAAGGACACACTGGTGCGGACTGTCTTTGAGCAACAGTATCTGCTCAAGGTTTATAATGTGTAAACCCCAATGGAGCCACAGCTTGCAATCACAAACATGAAATCAGGGCAGGCAGGGGGACTGTTCACATGCCTGAAAATCAGCCAAGCTACAGCAACTTGTGTAGTGTCAAGGCCTTATTACAGGCTCAAATGCCTCGAGCTTGAAGTACCTGCTCTGCAAAGTACCCAAGATCCTTTCAAGCCACTGGAAAGGGCTTCTATTGCTAACCTACAGAGTACAGTTCAACCTGCCCAGAAGTCCTTCCAAGAGCAATGTTCAGATGCACCACAGAAAATAAGCAAACCACTAGATGCACCTAGGAAAGCTTAATCAAGCTCTGATTCTGCCTCTAGGATCTTTTGCAAGACAGCTATATCTTGTGAAACACACTAGAACAAGCGGATGTCAAAGAAGCTCCAACATAAAGTTTGTTTCTTCATAAAACTGCTTCATGGCTTATCTACCTAGAAAAGCGCCTCAATTCAAACAATATAAACAAGTAAGTAACGCACAGATGGGCATGCGAACTGCACTGCAACTCTCCTCAGGCACTTACTGTATCTCTGTCCAAGGGTGCTTAAGGGAGATGTTCTGCAAAGCTGTAGCTGTTTGGGGTGCAGGCAAAGAGGCTGCCTGTAAACCCACCACTTCTGTTGGCGTTTTGACTGGAGGCAGAAAGCCCTCATCATCAGCAACATCTACATGGAAACAAACCAAAACATGAAAGGCAAGTAAGTGTCCAAGGCAGCCTTTCATTAGACTTTGACTCCTCAATGTAACTTAAGAACCACAACATTTTCTTACATTTAGGCATTCTGTATACAACACGTCAGTAACAAAAGCAGCAGAGCAGGTTTCCCTTATATAAGATGAAATTACAGAAGGTTCCAAGTAGTCCCTGAGCAGGTAATTTATTTCTACCCAGCGGCTTCAATCACTTGTACATGAGAAAGACCTTAGAAATCAAATCCAAGCCTCTAAACAGATAAAGAGCAGAGTTATTGCTGTTCCCCACCCCAGTCGCAGTGTTTCTTAATGCGCAGGTAACAGCTCACAAATATTTTTGTTATACTACTGCTGCTTATGATAGTGAAATGCCAGGGTATTTAAAGCAGACACTTAGCAGGGAGCAGGTTGGTTGCTTTAAATAAAACATCTAGTGCATCTAGTCATAGCTAAATATATGGATGCTCTGTCTCTGCCCTCCATTGGCCTCTTTACTCAAACTGCTAGGCACGTGCACCTTTATTCCTCCACCACTACAGGACTTGCTTACTGCTGGCTTCACAGTGGAAAGGGACACCACCAAACATGCAGGGTTCCAGCGTATGAGGGAAGCGAAGAGGGGATTCACAACCATAAGATACCTGAATATTGCCTAGCACACGCCGTGGCAGATCAAGAGACAGTACATTCACGTTCATCTCCAGTAAGGCCACAACCTCCAAACACCAATCCAGGCAGTGATAGTTGGCACGTGCCTTTAAATACCTGGGCAGTGCCTCCAGCCATTTAGAGATGAGAACCGCTCACCACTCGGAGGCTGAAAGCAAATGAAGGGATGACATAGGTGACACTTACTTATTCTGCCAACTAGAGGTTCATTTACAAGCTGGGAGCTGCCCACGGGAAATCTGCTCTGAGCACTGCAAAATTCCCAACGTCTCACTTGTAGCTGCTGCAGCCAGTACATCATTGCCTGTTTGCTGATTGCCTAAGAGAAAACAGGAAGCAGCAGGCAATCTTAACAGCATAAGACATAATCTGTAGGGTTAACAACCACTGTTCTGCCCATGTTAGCAAAAATAAAAGGCAGCTGAGTCATGCCTATGCTACATTCTCCAGTCCCAAATCTTAATTTGGAGAGACAAAGTAAATCTTCAGCATGGCCTTAGCAACAGAACCTCACTAGATAGCTGACCAAGTTCTAACCATTTCTGGTTTACCGTGTTCCAAGACTGAGCAGAAATGTTAAGATTACTTTAGGTGGGAATCATGAACAGAGTTCTCTTAATAGAGACATTCACAGAGATAGGAATCTAAGCTTCCTGCTGCGGGAACCAGTTCATACAGAGGAGCTCATTTCTATTCAATAAGTTATGCATGGGTGCAGGACTCTCAAATTACTTCAGTCCAGCACCCAGTTTGGCTTTTACTCCTATTCTGTTAAAGAAAAGCCATCTCAGTGACGGAAACCCAGCCTTACAAAAACAGAGCAAGGAACTCAGGTTTACAAGGTAACAGTCCAGGCTGAGGGGATTAGCACAAAACTCAGGCTGAGGTACATTACAGAGGTGAATCTGTCCTAGTGGGGAATGTTTTGTAGCAGCCCTCAAATGAAGCTGCTGCCTCTTACCTTTAGAGTAAAAACTCTGTTTGGTGTTCTGATCTCAAAAACCCCTTCATCATTTTCTACTTTGCAGTCAAAGCTAGCACTGGAGAGATCAATAGAGCCCAAAGGGTTGATGTCCTGTGCAGTCCTGTAGTATAGTAAGTGGCACTTATTTTCATCATAAATGAACCACCGAGACTTCCAGGTCTTGATTGGACCCCTAATGCCTAGCTTATTTAAATAGCCACAGAGTTTTTTTCTGTGTGTTTCGCTGCTGGGTTTCAGCTGTATATTTTCCAGTTCTCCAGGAGAGGGAAGCACATCTTTCTCTTTTGCTGAGTCTCCGTCGCTCCTACTGCCATCTGAGTTTGGCTCTGTTATCTCGTCTGGAACTCCAGCACTGGGACAAGCACCACTTCCTGGTCCTTTCTTCATCTCTTTCAGGAAATACACTCAGAACCAAACTGAAACAGGAAATCTCCAGGTAAACGAGGTACAGCAGATACCAACTATATCAACATTATTCTACAACCTGCAGAAGACAAAATTGAGGAATATGCTTAGGTCTCATATATGACCAAAAAAAAAAAAAAGAAAAAAGAAAAACAAACAAACAAACAAAAACAAACAAACAAAAAAATCACACCACCACATTCCCTAGCTTTCAAATTACCCAGCAGCGGTCCCCAGTGTCCAATATTGGTCATTGCTCTTTCCCTTCCTGGGCTCTAATGACCTCTACATCTCAGTTTTCTGTCTACAGTTTGTAAACAGTCTCTACTAGCAGCAGAGAAACCACTACAATCTTTCAGGTAAAAAACAAGCACATCCTGCAGGCATTTCAAGTCATTAGCAACAAACGGGGCTTTTGAAGTCACAGAGAAGAATATTAAGTATTAGCCGCAGAAAACAAGGTAACAACCTCTTTTGGGACACAAATTCAGGTCAATGGCTTTCAGGTAAGCTTGTCACTGCATGCTAAGCTAATATTTTAAACCACAGTACCTGGAGAAAAACCTATCCTTATGGCAGCTGAAGAATGCTGTTAAAAAGCCAGCATACCGTGCTCTGGGTCTTATTCAGCAGGCCTCACCTGATGGATTAGGCACCAGAGAAACAGATTCTGTGATTCCTACTAAACAGACTCGGTTATTCCATTGCCTAAAGAACCCTGCTGTGTTTCTGTAAGGAATGCAATATGCAACAGAGAAACAGAAAAACAACACTGGAGGGGATTTGGGCAGATTCTTAGCCCTGTCCTCCTCTCAGAGACAGGGTCAGTTTCAAAGCTGTGCCTGAATACATGGGTTCACATGCACATGAATTCTGATTGTGTGCTAGGGTGGCAAACCTACCACACTTGTGGGCAAATTAGGGAGAAATGACTTTTTGCTCACAGCTGCATATAACAATGTCTAGTGGTCCTTGCACAACAGAAATAACAACACCCCAAAATAAAACCTATTAGAAACTTGATGGTTTTTTTTTTGTTTTTTTTTGTTAAATAAAAGCCTATCTTGAAGCTCACCTAACGAAAAAGCCTGCCAGAGGCTTCAGTATAAATACTGCAGTATCAGAAGCAAATGTGTAAGCAAATACATATTAGTGGTAATCCAACAGCAACCACAAAACCATTGAACACTGAACCAGTGGTGTGATGACAACAGGTCAGTGGGGATAACACAAAGGAGTACAAAAAGACACTGGCCAAGCTCATGCTTTTAGGAACAACACCCTCCTTACTGATACAGGCTTACAGACATTAGTGTTTAAGCTCCATTCCTTTAATGCTGCTTCCTCCCATTCACTCATCTGCTCCTCAAAAAGCTACAGAACACTCACTTTTTTTTTTTTCTTTTTTTATTCACTTATTTTATCCACTCTCTTACTGCTGAAAATACAAATGCCAGAATAAGCACATTACGTAGGTGCCACATCAGAAGCCTAATTTCCAGGCTAATTTTGGCGGGTTCAAAGGAACCACTATCAAGCAGCAGCAGCCTCAAGCCTTCCTAGCAACCACAGAATCACAGAATGGCCAGGGTTGGGAGCACCTCAAGGATCATGAATCTCCAACCCCCCACCAATGCAGGGCCACCAACCTCCCCATTTCACAGCAGCCCAGGCTGCCCAGGGCCCCATCCAACCTGGCCTCCAACACCTCCAGGGATGGACGGGGCATCACAGCCTCTCTGGGCAGCTGTTCCAGCACCTCACCACTCTCACAGCACACAACTTCCCCTGACATCCAACCTCCATCTGCCCTCCCTCCACTGCAAACCATTTCCCCTTGTCCTGCTGTTATCTCCCCTTTCCAAGAGCTGACTCCACTCCTTTCTGTAGGCTCCCTTTAGGTACTGCAGGCTGCCATGAGGTCACAGAATCACACAGAATCACAGAATCACCCGGGTTGGAAGGGACCTCAAGGATCATGTAGTTCCAACCCCCCTGCCTAGCAGGGCCACCAAACACACACATTCAGATCAGGTTGCCCAGGACCCTGTCCAACCTGGCCTTAAACACATCCAAGGACGGGGCATCCACAACCTCCCTGGGCAGCCCGTTCCAGGGCCTAACCACTCTCCTTGTATAGAACTTCCCCCTAACATCCAAAGGGTCCATCCATCAGGTCACCCCACAGCCTCCTTTTCTCCAGGCTGAACAAGCCCAGCTCCCTCAGCCTGTCTCTGTAGGGGAGGTGCTGCAGCCCCTGATCATCTTTGTGGCTCCTCTGGACCCTCTCCAACAGCTCCCTGTCTTTCTTGTACTGGGGGTTCCAGACCTGGACACAATACTGCAGGTGGGGCCTCACAAGAGCAGAGTAGAGGGGACGATCACCTCCCTGTCCCTGCTGGCCGCCACTCTTCCAATGGAGCCCAGGACACCATTTGCCTTTCGAGCCACAAGGGCACACAGCTGGCTCAAAGCACAAGGACTTCCTGCGCCATCCAAAGACTCCAACACACTTCTAGCTGTGCTGACGGTGACACTCCACGGCTCCACCACACAGATTCAAGAACCTCGTTAGAAGAGCTCTGGTCAAATCTGCGTTACCAAGGGCTATAGAGAAAGCCTCACCTACTTGCAGGATTCTGGAGAGATGCCATTGGAAGCCACTGTCCGCTGCTGCAGAGCTGCAGACACCCCAAGCCGGGTGACCACGGCCTCCAGAAC